ATTTGGAACACATCTTACAGTAGTTCTGTGAATGCCAAATCTGAAAACACTAGCAGATTTCTTTCTATTTCTTTTTCAGATGAAAAACTCGAAGAGTGGGAGCAAGACATCTGGTAGCTCGAAGGGTTCTGGTATGGACTCGGAGGCCACATCTACAACGTCTAGTAAGACCTCGAAGGGATCCAGCATCAAGAACAAACTGTCGTCAGCAGCCAGCTCACTAAGCAAGAAACTCAGCAGCAAAAAGAGCAGCAACATCTAGACGTGCTTAACATCCGAAAGAGACAAAAACGAACAAAAATGGGAGGCGGAATGTTAACCAAGATGGAATATTATCAGTTTTGAAAAGTATAGTCAAATTAAAATACTTCAATATACTTCGGAACTTTTAGAGTAAATTGAAAAAGAGCTGTAGAAATTTCGAGACCTTGTGGGACTATGGCAAATAGTTTCTTTATTCAAAATTTATTCTGTTCTGCAATTTAAGATATTTTTGTTTGGACTTCCAAAGAAAGTGCGGAATATAATGCTCGAGGTGATTTTTATGTTCCGCCAATTTTCATTTTTTAACTAAGCGTTTTTGACAGAAACGTTTTATAGCATATGAATGATATTGTTAACTGGAGGTGAAATATAAAAGCAATATTTCCCCACGGCTCAACTTTTTGCGTTCTGATAATATGTGCAAGCGGTGGAATAATGCGTTTCAAACTGAGTTGAGGCAAGATTTTTGGTCTTTTTGTCAGAAAGTTTTGTTAGAGGCTCTTATACATCTCGTCGTACTTCATTATAGCATGTGGCTGAACAATTCTTTCTTGTTTTTGATTATTTTGTCAATTATTTTGTCAATTTGTCAGCTGTTATTGTTCCGACTTTCGATACGAAAGTAACGGAATATTTGTGCTCGGGGTGGGTTTTTTTTTTCTTCAGACAAATTTCGACTTTTTAACTAGCCATTTTTGACGGAATTTTCTTATACCATTCGAAAGCTATTGGTGTCCTGAGCTTAAATTTGAAAAGATATTTCACCTGTGATCATTTTTCGTGAAGTTATGAGGGTTTAAAGATTGCCATTTTGGCCATTTTGACCAATTTGGGACAATTAAGGCGCGATATAATTCGCGCTATTAACGCGTAAGCGGAGATTTAATCCGTCTTAGAAATCGTTCCAAATTAGTTGGAAGAAGCTTATTTGCCATAATTGATTCGTTACAAGGAGCGAAATCTATCCTTTTGTACTTTAAATGGCGTGTGGGGGGATGATTTTCATAAAAAAATTTTAAATTTTAGAATTTTTTTTTTCATTTTTATTACGTTTTATTAAACATTAAAAGGCAGTCGGAACATTCAGGGCTTCGCCCTGATACGAGCAGTCTTGTTTTAAATTAGCGTTTAAATGCAGTTGGAACATTCAGGGACTAGCCCTTACGTACGATCGATCAGTCTTGTGTACCTGATTCTGTTTAATATTCTATGGTCAAAGCTCTCCATGGAATTCTTAAAACTGCATTTTTAAACTGTTTTTTTTTTGAAAATCTTGTACGGAAACTCTCAAGAAAGGTAACTCGCTGAAACAGACACCTCGTAACAAAAAACAGGTCGCCAAAGAAGACAAGCGCTTTGATCTTTTTAGTTACCAAACATGAAAAGACTGCTCGTATATCAAGGCGAAGCCTTGGAGGTTGTTGCGACTGCACTTTAAAGCAAAATTGTTTTAAAAAAATTTGAACTTTTCAATTCAATTTAAAATTGTGTAACCGTGATATGTACAAAGGGACGACTTTAGCGTCTCGTATCCTAATAAAATGACCAATTATGTTAAATGTTAAATGAACTTTATTTAAATTGACGCTTACACGTTTCTAAGGATGCAACAATATCGCGTAAATTATCCCAAAGTGGCCAAGAACCGAGTTTGAAACCCCCATAACTATATGAATTACCTTTCGCTTTTAAACTCGGAGAACAATATCTTTCGAATGCTACAAAAAATTCTGTTAAAAGCGCTTATTTAGAAGTCAAAAGTTGACTGAATAAAGACCAACACAAAAAAAAGTTCCGTTACCTTTTTTGAAAGCCGCGACAACGATCAAAGTGGAAGCTAGCGGTCGGTTTTCGCTAACGTAGGCTGCTTTTGAAACTCTTTTAGATTAAGGTTCCGAATTAAGACTTTTTTACTCATTTAAACTGGTGTTACTATCTGATCGCCAAGAGCCATCAATATTATAAATTTTGTTGCGCTTTTAAGACACTTACGGATGAGAAGTGTGTGTTGGTTAGAGTATAATTTTCCCTCGTGATTTCTTACCCCGAAAATTTTCTGTTTGGCATTGACAGTGCAATCAAAGTAACTCTTTGCTTTTTGCCTCTTAGACTAACTTCTGGCGTGTTTTGTGATTGAATTATTGATTTTTTTCGTGTTGAAGCAAAAATGAAAACAAACAAAATGGGTCTGCTTGTATCAAGACGACGTCTTGAATGCTCCGACTCCCCTTTCACATCCACCAAGTTTTGTTTGGTTTTTAAAAAGTGAAAATTTTAGAACAAAATAATTTTTTTTGTAAAAATATTATTTTTTAAAGCATCGCCCCCACAGACTATATGGTAAAAAAAATCTATAATTAGCGCACAGTTACGTGTTAATCAGAACAGCGCGCATGCCTAAGTTCAATTTGCAACAATTACGGAGCAGGATTAATTAGCCCTTCGCGCGTTGATAGCCCGAGTACTTCGCGTGTAAATTATCAATAATAGGCAAAGTTACAATTTCAAACTTCATAACCTACCAAAAAATATCACTGGTTATTTCAGATGCTATCAAAATGTTCTCCAAAATGGCTTATTAAAGCGTCAAAAACTGCGTGGAGACCAGAAATGATATTAAAAAATCTCCTCATTAACAACTAAGTTTAACATCAAAAATCCTGTGGAAGCTATCTGATTAATAGCGCATCAAAAAATTTTCATGCCTTTGCATGCATCTCGTTTCACGTATAGATAGTGTTGGTATTCAAATGACAAACAAGGGGAAAAGAATTGTCTGAATGCGTTTTGTCTCCCTTCATACATTAGCTCAGAAAAAAAATGAATTTGAGGGCATTCAAAAAAAAGAAATCAAAAGCAAAAACATGATAAATCAAGGATAATTGTTTGGAAGTTATAGGAAATGTTAAAAGTCACTCCAAATTATTCAAAGTTGGTGAGTTTTAACATTTTCTTTAACTGAAATCTAAGGAAAAAGTACAAAACATAATTTCAACTGAAACAAAATTTTAAGTTTCGACATGAAACGAAATTTTAAGTTTTGACCATCTATTTTCCAGGCTTCTGGCTAACTGCTTTGGTTTTTGGAAAAAAAAACATGAGAAAAAACAGTCTTTGATTTCAAAACTTAAAGTTTTAGTTCAGTTGAAATTTTTTTTTGCTCTTTTTTTTGAGGCTCATAACTTTACTCACTGAAATTAAACAAAGAGAAATTTCAAGTCTAAACAAATATTATAGTTAACTACAGCAAATAATAACAAGATTCCAAAATTTTCCCTAAAAAAGGTTTGGATTTCAGAATAAAAGTTAGAAAATGTTCTACGTCATTTCTTTCTTTTGAAGTAATATTAGTTTCGTACAATTTTTCTTTCAAGTTATTTGAGTCTCTGAGTTAGGAAAATTCCTAAAACATCGAGACCACGATGGATTGATTCGATTTGTAACTGCAATGAAAAAACAGCTCAGACGAAGGCAGATCACTAAATGGTTAAATGAGGTTATAATAAGCTGACACACGTGTTACAGAACATTCTATTCTATCAGAGAAAATACTTCAGATAGCATAACTCTACCTCAAAGTTGTAAAAAAAATATGTAAAAAAACTGCTCATATTAGGGCAAAGCCCTGAATGTTCCGACTGCCTTGTTAGATCTATAGATCAGTAATAACAAGAGAAAATTTTTGCGCGTTTATTGTCCCAAATCGGCCTACAGGGCAATCACTAAAGGCCCAAAGTGTTACAAAAATTATCACAAGTGAAATGTATAATTTCTCGATTTCTGATCAGTATGTATCAGAACTGGGTCTACGGCACACAAACGATATGTCAAACATCTGCTAGTTACACAAGCAAAGGCTTGTTTTATAGTATGAACTACCTTTTTTTCAACCTAAGTCGCAAAAATTGTTGCGACGCAAAAATTGTTGCGACAAAATTTGTTCATTTTGATCAATAAGCAACTTATAAGTACAGCCAAGGCTAAGGATATTAACAGTGACTATTATTTTACAAATAGAACTTTAGCTTCAAGGTATCATGCATCTGTAGCGTAGAGGTAGCGAAGGAGAACCGCAGCAAAATAAAATAACCGCAACAAGGAGAACCGCAACAAAATAAATAGAACCTCAACAAAAAATGATTTGTAAAAACCATCCTCCCACACGCTATCTGAAGTACAAAGTGATAGATTTTGCTACTAGTAACAAATCAATTGTGGCAGATAAACTTCCTTCAACCAATTTGGAACAATTTCTAAGACGAAACAAATCTCCTCGCTTACGCGTTAATTGCGCGAAAATTATTGCGCGTTTCTTGTCCCAATTTGGCCTAAAGGGCCATCATTAAAGGCCCAGAGCTTAACAAAAATTATCACAGGTGAAATTTCATTTGAAAATTAAGCTTAGGATAACAATAATTTTGGAATGAAAAACAAAAACTCCGTCGAATGTGGTTAGTTAAAAAGTCAGAAGTTGAAAACCACCCCGAGCACAAATATTACGTTATTTTCGTCACAAAAGTCTGAACAATAATTGATTCATTCCAACTACAGGAAGGCCAATTTGTTAAAAATTTGGACGAAAGCTTTTGAGATAATGCCAACTAATAGTAATGCGACAAATTTCTGAAAGCACAAACCTAATCAAATAAAGATATTATGCGACAAAATGCATTTCTGTTCTTATAACGGGGGAGAGGTTCGGTACAGGGTAGCATAGAGGAGAAATAATTAACAATGTCCTCGATCTCTGATCAATATGTATCAAAACTGGGTCTAGAGCACACATCCGGTATGTCACTAACTACTGCTAATTACACAGGCAAAAGCTTCTGTTATAGTATGAACCACCTTTTTTCCAACCTAACTCGTAAATATTGTTGAGACGCAAATATTGTTGCGACGCAAATATTGTTGAGACAAATGTTGTTCATTTTGATCAATGATCAGCAAGAGGGTTTGAACCTGGGCAGGGTCGGATGTTTTTAATGAACTTTTTCG